TTGTGTAAGAGTGTGGAGAAAGAAAAGAAGTGGTGTTGTGAAGTTGTGGCTCAGGGGACTACCAATGGCAGTGGTACCAATGTGGTCGATGTGCCATCCGTCGAAATTTAAACTTGACAATAAATAGAAATCAAAATGCTGGTAAATTCAAAAAATTCCAATGCTAATGTATTCCGCAGTGTTCTGACAATGGAACATCTTTGAAGTCCATCATGATTAAAATGTTCTTAGCAGAAAGAAGTCAGTAAATTAATTTTCTCGGGTTGGCAACTATTTTCTCGGCGTCTGCGCCCTTGGGAAAATCGCGAAGCTGAAAGCGCCAGCAGTCACGCATTAAAACTGCCCCTCCATTGTTGTGGACGTTGAATTGTTTGGCTTGTTTCAAAAGGCTATGGTTCTCTAGTCATGTTTTCTTCAATTCTGTGTAATAGTTCTCCCTTACAACGTATCAACACCACGACGGTTGGTTTGACAAACTTCATAAACTCGGGAGGGATGGTTTCGAAACGCGGGTGAGTCTTGTTCGAGGAACATGAGCACTGCAAGTCGCGAGGTGGAGCGAAGTGGTCCTAGTGCTAACTGAATCACAACAACAACACTGCGCATGTCCAAAAACACTCCAATCAAGAAGTATTATTGGATAGTTCTACCCGAAAAACTGCGTTCGAACCGGCACCAATTCTATTGTTGCATCTTGTCTACCTGCAGTCAAAGAAATTTTTCATTTCGAACGTTGCTTTTTCAGCTTTTGGAGTAAGCTGTACAGACCCAAAAAGAAGCTCCGCTATTGGTCCGCCCCGGCTAGGCTCCCCCCACTCCCTTTTTTTTCCTTTGACGAGTCGAGTTTTGCCATGGAAACGGTGATTTTGACAGCAAATTTCTCAAAATTGGCCACCAAATTTTTGACCAGATTTCAACATCAGAATCAGCGTTCAAAGTTCTACTAGTCTGCAAAATCTCATTAAAATCGTATAGAAAACTTCCGAAATGCATAAAGGGCCACACAAATCAAATCTCGAGCCGGCTGAGTCCTGGGTATACTATAAGGCTACTTCGTGCCTAAAAAAAAAAAACGTTTGGAACTGGCAGTTTGAGATAATGCTTATTAAACTGTGCGTCACTTGAACATTAGCCGCTCTGCGTGTTTGTGACTAAATCTGACCGTCCTCCGCAGTTTCTCAGGGGGGCCAGCCACCCTGGATGAGCACGACTAAGGAATGAAAGGAGTTGTCCAAAATCTGGCAACCTCATGCGACAAAGCAAGATTTATAGAAGCAAAGAAACACCATGATGAACGGTTGACTAGCTCAGGCGTGAAATTGGTTGCCTACCTTCACGGCGCTATGTAGAGACGTCGGCCGCATGCCCATTCAGCACACAATCTTCACACATTCTCATACAATCTCTAACATTCCTGACACATTCTGTCACATTCTCACTACAATCTGTAACATTCACACACATTCTAGACAATCTTTACAATCAGTACATTCCATTACAATCTTTACATTCTCACACATTCAACACATTCTACACATTCTACACTCAGTTGTACACTTTTTGGGGCAGTGGGTCCCCCCTCGACCCAACGTGTGACCCCACCAATGGATTGCTCTCCGAACGAGGAATCCATTGGTGGGGTCACACGCTCGCTTCGAGTCCCGCTTAGCGACTCTGGGGCTCAAAACGCGTCCGGGATTTTGAGCGCCTCCGCCGGCCTTCTGGCCCACTGTGCGAAGGCTTGATTTGGCACACTGTACACAGAGCGCTCTTTCTCTCGGCCCGCTCGGCCTCCTCGGGGCGGCCGGGTGTGAAGACGCTGCTCGACAGGGCGGGAATTGAGCTCGTCGCTACTCTTCCACCGCCCCCCTCATTTTTTTTGTCCATTTTTATTTCTATTTTCATTTTTTTAAATTATCGTTTTTAGCCGTGCCTCCCGCTTTGCCACTTTGGCGCAAAAATCTGGCACACGTAATCCCCTTTTAAGTGACCGCGAAAAGCAGGGTAAACGGGCGAAAATCAAGATTGGAGGATGGCGAGGAGGTAAATTACAGAGAGAGGGAGAGAGAGAGAGAGAGAGAGAGAGAGAGAGAGAGAGAGAGAGAGAGAGAGAGAGAGAGAGAGAGAGAGAGAGAGAGAGAGAGAGAGGGGGGGGGGAGAGGGGGGGAGGGGGAGGCGGCTTTCTGACCTCCTTCCCGCCTAAAAGCAGCATAATCGGGCTGAACATTTCCTGGCCTCTGCCACTCCGTGACTTCGAGAATGGCGACGACGCCTCGTCGATTCGTGCCTCTTTTTTTTCTTTCTTATTGGCTTTGTTATTATTTCTACGCGCTTTGGTGGCCGCCCCGCCCGGCCCTCCCCCCGCAGCGGACCCGCAGCGGAGACTCGGTGAAATCTTATTTGGACGTATCGAGATTGGTGTCAATCCGAGGCCAGACGACCATCGCTCTGCCGGAAAGTCGATTCCTCGCTGAAGGCAGCAAGCTGCCCGGCCTGGCGTGGCCTGGCGTGGTACCGCGCAAAGCGTCTGGCCTGCTGCTGGCAGCCCGCCGGCGTTGCACAGTGGCCCAGAAGACCGGTGGAGGCGGTCAAAACTCTAGGCGCGTTTTCAGCTCCAGAGTCGCTAAATGGGACTCGAACCGAACGTGTGACCCCACCAATGGATTGCCCTCCGAACGAGGAATCCATTGGTGAGGTCACACGGTCGGTTCAAGTCCTATTTAGCAAAAAAAAAAAATTCACTGGAAATCTCAGTGTTTCCCTGAGAGTGGCGCGCCGCCCCCTAAAATTAGGGTTGACACGTTTCTGTTGGAGCTGCTTGCCGAGCGGCGCCGCCGAGCGCCGAGCGTCCCCGGCGAAGAGGCTCCCTTTAAGTGGGAAACTGCTGATATGACGATCGGCGCGCAGTGATTGCTGGCAAGGATCCCACGGGTGGCTGAAGGGGCGGCCTTTCGCGGCGCGTTTAGAGGCGGTCCACTGGAAAGAGAGAGAGAGGGGGGGGGGGCACACTGTGTCGACCACCCCGTCACCCCACCCCCGCGTCCGCGACTTAGTGGTCGCCTTAGCAGCAACTTTAACCGCCGGCGCGATACGCGTAAGCCGTCGGCAGCCTCGCTGAGTCGTCATTCGGAGCGCCTGCCATCGAAGGCAGGCCGCAACGCACGCGTGCGAACAGCGTGCCTAACCGCCGGCCCGGCGTGCAGAGCGCCATAGTCGCTGAACAGGACTCGAACCGCGCGTGTGACCCCACCAATGGATTCCTCGTTCGGAGAGCAATCCATTGGTGGGGTCACACGTTCGGTTCGAGCCCCATTTAGCGACTCTGGAGCTCAAAACGCGGCGGGGGTTTTGGCCGCCGCCACCACCGGTCTTCTGGCGCACTGTGGCCCCGAATCAGATTCGCTGGGTCGTCTTTGCCGCCACCCCAGCGCTGCCCTCGCCGCGGAGTGTCAGGTGGTTTTACAGTGCCTCGCGGAAATGCGGGCAACTGGGTCGGTGTCGCGGTCGAGTTACTCCAGCCACTCCAGCCGCGCAATTGCCCTAACAAGGGGTAGTCTTGCAATTAGGCGCTCCGTTATCTTTTGTTTCTTTTTGCCTGTTTCTTTATCCCCCCCTCTTTTCTTCCGTCCCTCTTTCCCTCGCCCGTCCCGCTCTCATTCACCGCAATGAGGCTTTGTCTTTAGTCGCACTTCGGGGTGACACCAACTGTCATCTGTCAAAAATTCATAACGACTTAAACTCTGTTCAAGTCTTCCCGCATCAATATCAAAATGATATAAATCTAAATGTCAAATCGATTTAATCTTTTTTGACGGTGTGGCTTGGGATTTGCTAGCATGGTACGAACAGCGTCATGGGGATTGAGTCTGGATAATAGTTTTGTCTGCGCTCTCTCTCTCTCTCTCTCTCTCTCTCTCTCTCTCTCTCTCTCTCTCTCTCTCTCTCTCTCTCTCTCGCTCTCTCTCTCTCTCTCTCCAGTGAGTGACGAATGAAGCAAAGTTTTAAAGCGGCTTACCGGGGCGGGTGGGCTGGTCCGGAGTTTGCTCGTCAAGTCATTTGGAGTGGCCAAATCGGCCAAATCGATATCGATGTGGACCACCTGTGCAGCATGCATGACGAGCCGCTGGTCGTTCTGCGGGGATCGCAGTACTTATCGAGGGTCCGGGACGATTCCGTCGTGCCCCCGCAACGGATTACACTAACCCAAACTTTGAAATTCAGTTGGACCAACTTTGTAAAGCAATTGGGTAAACGTGTTTTGACACCATCCGGGCGTCACGGTGTGTTGAGTTATTTAGTGAATCAGTTTCTGTCGTTTCTGTTTATTTTTCTTTCTTTTTTTCGCTGTTTCTGTGAAAACGGCCGTAGTACCCCTGCAAAGCCACCGCCCTCTCGAGTCGAGTGGCGGGGTGAAGCGTTTGAAAGGCTTTCCGCGCGATGCCGGATGCGGGGCAGCTTTGCTTGGCCGTGCTTCGAGTCGCTCGAGGAAACGGCCACCGCGTCCCCTCTGCGCGCCGCGCCGAAACGCCCGTCTCTCTCGCACCCCCACGCACAGTGGGCCAGAAGACCGGTGGAGGCGGCCAAAACTCTGGACGCGGTTTTGAGCTCCAGAGTCGCTAAATGGGACTCGAACCGCACGTGTGACCCCACCAATGGTTTCCTCGTTCGGAGAGCAATCCCACGTCCGGTTCGAGTCCCATTTAGCGACTCTGGAGGTCAAAACGCGTCCAGAGTTTTGGCCGCCTCCACCGGTCTTCTGGCCCACTGCGCCACGGCACTCCCCACGAGCGCGACAGAGACACGATGAAGTATGAGCTTCAGCAGCCAGCTGACGCCCTGGCAGTGTGTGAGTCTTTGTGACTGTCTCTGCCGGCGTGGCGTGGAGGTGCTAGAGAGACGGAAAAAGACAATTTTACGAACGCATCGACTTTGCAGTTTTAGAAAAACGAGCTATCTACAAACTGACAGCATTCTGACTGAGGTTGTTTCGGTTGTTGCAGATTCCGCAAATAAGCTACGCGTCCACGAGCACGGAGCTCTCCGACAAGTCGCGCTTCGGCTTCTTCTCGCGCGTCGTGCCGCCCGACAACTTCCAGGCGCAGGCCATGGTGGACGTGGTGTCGGCCCTGGGCTGGAAGTACGTGTCCACGGTGGCCGTGGAGGGCGACTACGGCGAGCGGGTAAGTGCACACACTGCAATTTTTTTTAAAAAAAGTAATTTTTAAAAAAAAAAATTAGAATTTTTTAAAAGTTTTTTTTTGTACTATACATGCTGGAAACTCACACAAAATGAGAACGTTTGAGGTAGTGGAACTTTTTGATGATAGGGCGCAATTTTTTTAGCAAGAGCAAAGAAGTCAGTGTGACTTGAAAAACGCTTGGTGCGACTTGAAAAACGCTGGGTGTGACTCTGGATTTTCGCCATTTTGAGCGAGTGTATAAAAATAAGTGGGTGGAAAAAATGTCAACACGCACGCTCATGCAGAGACGAGCAGGGGAGAGGGGGAGTCGGGCAGGAAGACTCATTTCCCGGTGTGAATTGCTTTTTAATCGAGAAAACATTGGCGCCACGTCCATTTAGAGGCAAAAGAGACGCGTTAAGGGACGGAGATTGGATGAGGGGACAGTTCTAGGGACACTCCGAATGGACTGGCCTAGTGGACAGACACTGAGGACTCGGTTGGCCAAAGTGGGCAGGTCAAACGCATTCCCAAGCCTCGGGTTCGACTCCCACCTAGAGTCCTTGAGCGCGACAAAAGTAATGTCTACCAACTTTCACCCACCCTTTTTTTTCTTTTTTTTTTTTTTTTTTTTTGGGGGGGGGGGGGTATTTGTGTTTGCCCGACGCGATTCCTCGTTACATTTCCCTCCTGGGCCTTTTGATGGTCATACCTGGCTTTTTTGCGCGAGGTCATCAGAGTTGTCATTAAGGCCGATACAGCGAGCTGGCGTTTCGCCTGCCGTGTCGAGCCGTGCCGCTGTCTCATCAATTCGTATCGCCCCCGAGCCGCGCCCCGCTACGCCCCGCCGCGCCCTGTATCAGTGTCGAGTCAGTGCTTGCAGTGCCACGAGGCACAAAGTATTAGCGGCGAAAAGGGCGGCATAGAATGCCATTTCGCGAACCAAGTTTGTCGTCTTTGCCGAGAAGATAAACCCCTGCGTCATGCGAACAGTAAACAAACTTAAAAACAGACACGAGGTGCAAATGCAACAAAAACCGACGAAATCTCCGGTTGGAAGCAATTACCCTCCTGTAGTTGACTCTGCTCGCCACGGCTATGTTCCTCATGCCTGCGGTGCGACGTGGGGTGACACACAAACAAACACCTCGACAAACACGCGGTAAATAGTTCACGTTCGTCCATTGTTTTCCCTCAAAAAGTGGTTGCATGCGTTCATTTCTATTTCATCTCCCCGTGCCATGGCGTGCCAGGCCGGGCTGGGCTCGCGCCCCGCCGCACCACATGGGGCCTGCAGACGACACTTGCGGACAAAGGCCCGGCCTGGCCAGCCCGTGTCCGACGCGTCCAAGGCACAGGTCGTGATTTAGTCATGAGGGGGAGGGGGAGGGGGAGGGGGGTGGAAGAGGGCGTAAGGCTGCGCAGCTTTCGCTACAATACACACAGACACGCAGCTAACACCTCCACACACACACACACACAAACACACACACACAAACACACACACACACACACACAGACGGCGCGAATTACGCGGCGTGGCTGCAAATGTAGGTAATAATGAACAGGCGCGCATGAATCTCAATTCAGCATCTCCCGCCGCCGCTATGCCGACGCGCTCGATGAGGGCGGGCCATCGCGCGATGCGATAGCCCCCCGCGGAAAGGTGCGGGATGCGGTGGGCTGCGCTGCGGTCACCGTCAAATTATTCTGTTTCGTATTACGAGTAACTTTTTTTACCTTCCATAACACGTTCCAAAAGAAAATTTTGCCCGCAAATTTCTTTTGAAATTTTTTGAAATTTTTCATTTTTTTGATTATTTTTTTAAAAATTTTTATTATTTTTGCACTTTTTAAATTTTTCATTTTGTTTGAATTTTTTTGAATTTTTCATTTTTTGAAATTTTTTTGGATAAAATGTTTGTAAAAGTTTTTTTTTTCAAGTTACGGAGCGCGATTCCATTCAGGAGTCGGTGGCTACGTGTGGTGCTATTGGTCAAGCATAAAACCAATGACGTTTTTCGAACTCAACTTTCACCACCGTTTTTTTTCTTCTCCCCGCACTGGCCGTTGGTTGGTATTACTGGGCGGTGTACGTTACACCCAACCCCTTCCCTGCCCTTGGCTGCGGTCAATCTGCCCATTGTTGGGAGGTGTTTCCCCAATTCGTCTTGTTGCCCCCTCTGCGCCGCCTGCAGCCACTAGCAGCCTGCTAGCAGGGCTGCCAACCCCAGCCCCTCCCTCTGGCACTCCAACGTAGGGGTCTTCTTCAATTTGCCGGCCGCAGCGACCGACCCAGCCTCGGCCGGCTCAGACACACACACACACACACACACACGAGACTTGAAGTCGAGTTGAATTGGTTAAGTTGGTGCGCTCCTTCCGCGCCGCTAAACGAATCGAAGTAAATACGGAGAGGCTGAATCGATCAGTCAAACTGGCGGCGCAAACAACGCTCTGAGCGCCATCTAGAGGATATAATTAAAGTTGAGAATGGCCGTGGCGGGCCGGGCCGGGGGGATGTGCCACAGTGCTGCCAGGTCGGACGGAACCGATGCCAAAAGCAACGGCATGGCACGGCTATGTAAATGGCAGCGCACGCCAACAAAATATCGCGTCTGCCAGAGCGACTCATTTCGAACCGAGGGATCTGCCCTTCAAGCTGTCTCGTTACGGAAAGCCAATAGCGCCGGGCTCGCTGTGATTCGTTAAGACCGATATTGGGCACGCATGCGGCATAGCCGTTTGTCAGAACAACATCAAAAGGATGTTTCACCGGACTACAAGATGCTTAAAGCCATTGCCGTTTTTTAGGGTAGTCTTTTTTCAGGTTGGTCGTTTTTTTTAGGTTAATCGGTTTTTTAGGTTAGTTGTTTTCAAGGTAGTCGACCCGCACTCGAAACCACCACCTACCCGCCAAAACCCGCCCAAACCCGAAACCCGAGGTTCCGCCGGGTGACGGAGAGCCAGTCGCTTTGTCCCCGCCTCCGTGCCTCTGCCGGCCGGGTGCCGAGAGGAAGGCGAGAGCAAGGCGAGAGCAAGGCGAGAGCACTGCAACTCTGTCTCTGAGCGGAGGAAGAAACAGCTCGGATAAGTGAGTTTGGGTTACAGCCAGATCCGTGTCGCGAACCGTGCCTCGCCGCGCCGCGCAGTCCAAAGCTAGTGCAAGGTGAGTGCGCGGGTCCTGTTCCATCCCTCTTCACTCTCCGGCATCCGCTTGGCCGAGCTTCCGGACCCCACCACTCCCACTACCCCCACCACTACCGCTACCCCCACCGCTACCGACCCCCACCACTCCCGCTACCCCCACCACAACCGCTGCATCTTGTTCAAGAAATGGCGGGAAACTGGACGCAAGGCAATCTTCCTCGCTCTCTGACGTCGGTCGGGGAGCGCGCCCGGGTTACACTGAAGCAACCACGTCCTACATACTTGATGACGGTTTCCTTTGTGTGGTCGGGCGCCAACAGTCACAAACGGGACTGTCATCACGCTTCACCTGAAAATGGGTTTTCAAAGTGGCCGCTCGCCGTTGGCTTATTCGACCAGGCCGTGACAAGCGGCCGTGTCCACCGTGCGCAACCTGTTGTTGTGCGGCGTCCGCGCAGAGCGCCTGCCGTGGAGAGGGTAGGCAAGCCCGCCCAACGCTGCTGGGTCTGCCTTGCCTACCTCGCATTACCATTACCATTAAGGGCTGGACCACACATGATCGAATGTCATTTCTTCGGACCCGACTCATGCTCGCCTGTAACTCGAAGGCGGCCCGTCCGCTGTGAAAAGTCTTCTTCTTCTTCTTTTCTTCTTCTTCTTCTTCTTCTTCTTCTTCTTCTTCTTCTTCTTCTCCTTCTTCTTCATCTTCTTCTTCTTTCCCCGATGGCTCCAGGTGAGCGTGCCCCGCAAATCTGTGCCGGCCTTTGACGCATTGGCGATGCAGGCCGGGTGCTGGGTGCGCGCTGCCCAAGATGGCCCACCCTGATCCCCGGTTTTGCATTTCATGAGGAGGCCATGGGCAAGCCATGGCCGGGGCCCGGCCGGTCTCGGGGGCGGCCTCAGCATGACTAATACAGACCTGTTGTTGGAGCTGTTAGCGAGAACACCTGCTCGGCCAGCCCCCCCCCCCCCCACCTGTCATTCCCCCCCCCCTCGGATGCAATATCTCCTCCCCCCCTTTTCCAGTGGGGGGGGGGGGGCACCCCGACCTGTGACCGCACCCGTCGCACCTGCCCGAGTAACCAAACCATTCGTCCCATGAATAATTCCGCGGCAGAAAGAGATTCCAAATTACGGCCGAGCATTGCATTGCATGGAGGCGACGAGCGGCAGGGCTCTGAATGCGACGAGGCGGCGTGGCGGCGCGGCACCAAGTTGGCAGTCGCCGAGTATGAGAAATTTACGGGCAGCGCAACTTTAGCGGGGCCGGTTGGGGCTAGGGTCATTCGGTGGGTCGGACCCGCCCCGCCCCGCCCCGCCCCGCCCCGCCCCACCCCGCCCTCTGTCCACCTCGGAAGCAGTCCCTAATCGTTGCTGGCCGTTTACCGCCCAGCCCTGCCCACCCTGCCCACCCTGCCCTGCCCCGGGGCCAAACTTACTTGCTCCCGATAATTTTGTGGGACGGACCTGGGATGTGGCTGCCTGCCTGCCCGGCGGCCCACAGCCGGGCCGGCGCAGGCGGTAAAAATCCCGGACGGGTTTTGAGCCCCCTAGTCGCTAAACAGGACTCGCGTGTGACCCCACCAATGGATTGCTCTCCGAATGAGGAATCCATTGGTGGGGTCACACTTTCGGTTCGAGTCCCATTTAGCGACTCTGGAGCTCAAAACGCGTCTAGAATTTTGTCCGCCTCCACCGGTCCACTGGCCCACTGTGCCCTCCCTCTGGCGGTGCAGTCCGCTGCGAGACCAAGTGCGCCGCGACGAGTCCGCCTCCCCCGGGAGAGATATGTGGCGCCGGTGGGCTGTCAGTGAAGGTGACTCCGGATTGGCCAGGTGACTTCATCCCCGGCAAAACAGCCGCCGTGACCTTGACGCAGTTCCGGGGCGCCGCGGCGACTCGCCGGGAGAGGAGGGATGGGCCACCGGATTACGCTTACACTGATCGGTCCTATCAGAAAATACAGTCGAGGGACACTGCACTGTGAAGCACTGCGAAGAAGTCTTGAAAACTCCTGAAACTTCCCATGGGACAAAGCTGCCTGCGATCGATCTGATAGATGAAAGCCGCCGCTCGCCGTCGGGTGGGTCAAGGCCCCGGCGGCGTTGCAGTGTGTCAGCGACGCAGACACACCAAAGTGATTTTGAAACAAAAGTGGCCGGCACACCAACAGTCGTTGCCAGGGGCCGTAATGGCCGCCGCGTTGGCGGTGCTGGCGCTGCCCCGCCAGACAACAGGAAGCTGATTTCCAGTGGCGCGGAAAGGGGCGGTCCGGGGGCGGGGGGCTCCGAGGGGGGCTCGGACCCAAGCACTGAGTGCGTCAAACTTGGTCCATCTATTTCAACTGTCTGCCCTCCGCGCCCCGCCCCGCCCGGCCCCGCCCCGCCCCGCCCCGCCCGGCCCCGTCCCGCCCCGCCCCGCCCCCAGCCGCCCCGGCCGCCACCTACCCTCCACCTCGACGTGTCAGCACCCTCAGCCAACGGCGTCCTTGTCTCTCCAGACACCTGTGTGAACGACATCTTTCCTCCGTCGTCCTCACGGCCGGAAACGCCACTCCGGAGTCTCGAGATTTCTCTCCCCCCCCCTTTTTTTCGCCCTTGTTGTTTTGTCTGTTTGTCTCCTTCCTTTCCCACTTTTTTTTTGCACTGGCACAAAATGGCGCGGGAAGAATTTTGTTCAATTATTTTTTCCGTGCGATTTCCCCCGCAGTGTGGGGGAGGCGGAGGATTACAACGAATTCGCAAGTTGGTCGCTGTCATTGTTATTTCTCTCTCTCTCTCTCTCTCTCTCTCTGTCTCTGTCTCTGTCTCTCTCTCTCTCTCTCTCTCTCTCTCTCTCTCTCTCTCTCTCCTCCCGCTTTTTTCTCCGGTCTCATCATAAATAAAGTTAGCAAAGTTGTAAACCTTTTCAATACTTTGGGGTCGCCTTTACTCCCTTGGTTACTCGCCGCTATATATCCCGCCTGCAATCCCCCTCACCTCTTGGTGAAACAGCCCCGGGGGTGCCACGCCACGCCACGCCACGCCACGCCGCGCCACGCCGCGCCGCACCACGCCACGCCACGGGAAGCCCGCGTGCATTGCACGGCACGGGGCCCTTAATGTTTGAGCAGGGCACCCAGCCCGTGGTCTCGCGGAACCGATCATGTCGACAAGAACCCATAAACCGACTAAAGAAAGAAAGAGAGAGAGAGAGAGAGAGAGAGAGAAAAGGGGGGGGGGCTGGTCCCCACCGGCATGATGATATTGAGATTGCGGTAGGAAGTCCTCCTGGAAGGCCCGCAGGTTATTGCTGGTACCGGCATGGCCGGCCCGGCCAACCAACCGTGCTCCAGGCCCAGCCGGCAGGGGGATTTTGGATTTTGCGGCCAGGGACTTGGCAATGTGCCCCGCCGTGCTGTCCCTTCTCTGTCTCTCTCTCTCTCTCTCTCTCTCTCTCTCTCTCTCTCTCTCTCTCTCTTTCTCTCTCTCTCTCTCTCTCTCTCTCACTCTCTCTCTCACTCTCTCTCTCTCCGGTGCTGTTGTCACCACGTCCCTGCTGGTATGCATCCGTCTGACTCGATAAGTGAACTGGGTCATATCAACGCGACTCAGCCCCCGGGGATTTGTGTGTGTGTGCGCGTATGTGTGTGTGCGTGTGTTTACAGCGCAGGCACGCTGTGCTTGTCAGCCAGGGATTGGCGGCGTGGCTGTGTCGAAGGCCGAGGTTGTGCCACATGCATTTCCGCAAGCCACTGGGTTGGAACTGGAGGCCGGCTGCGGCAGGCAGGCAGGCAGGCTGGCAGGCAGGCTGGCAGGCAGGCAGCCAGGCAGGCAGGCAGGCAGGCAGGCTGGCAGGCAGGCAGGCTGGCAGGCAGGCAGGCAGGCAGGCAGGCAGGCTGGCAGGCAGGCAGGCAGGCAGGCAGGCAGGCAGGCAGGCAGGCAGGCAGGCTGGCAGGCAGGCAGGCAGGCAGGCAGGCAGGCAGGCAGGCAGGCTGGCAGGCAGGCAGGCAGGGGTCTGTAAAGTTAAACCATGCGCATGGATGCTTGCATGCATGCATGCATGCATGGTTTGCGGATCACTATGGAATCCACTCAGAAGGCTATTGTTTCCATCTGGCATGACCCAAGAAGAAGTTATTAGCCCTTAGAAATGTGTCAGCATTGATAAAAGTCCTTTTAAAGTGGTATTTTCAGCGCGACGCACCGACGCTTGCGTGCATGCATGCATGCACGCACTCCCGCGCTGTCGCTAGTTCTCTTCCAAACTGGCCTTTATCTTGTATGCCAATATGTTTGGAGCATTATTATGTGACAAAATGTCATTCTAACTCCTGTCGGATGACAACAACACCTTTCTATATGGATTTCGTGGCGATCCGCACCCCATGCATGCATGCATGCATGCAAGCATCCGTGCGCATGGATTAACTTTACAGACCCCAGGCTGGCAGGCAGGCAGGCAGGCAGGCAGGCAGGCAGGCAGGCAGGCAGGCAGGCAGGCAGGCAGGCAGGCAGGCAGGCAGGCAGGCAGGCAGGCAGGCAGGCAGGCAGGCAGGCAGGCAGGCAGGCAGGCAGGCAGGCAGGCAGGCAGGCAGGCAGGCAGGCTGGCAGGCCAAGTTGGAAGCAAGGAGTTGGCTCTCATCTTTCGCCCCTGAATACGAGAGGTACTCTTCGGCGTTTTGCGCCGTTTTTGTCGTCGTGGACAAAGTTTGAAGCACTTGGCCGCTGCGTTGTCAGCGGCACTGGAAAAGAAAAAGAACATACTGAAAAAAAAAATCCCGGTGGCGCGCGTGTTCGTGTGTGTGTGTGTGTGTATTCTGTGCATCCGTTCCGTTTCCGAAGCTGAATCACTTGAATGGTCGCAGTGAGTCTGTGAAGTTGCTCGCCGTGAGTTAGTAGCGGGCGGTATCTGTGATGGTAATCGCCAGGGACATACATACACTCGCCTCGGGTGAAAGCCTCCCCCCCCCCCCCTCCTTCTTTCCACTTTGCAGGTACGCGCGCAAAGGCTGCGCAGCTTTGTGGACCAAAGGGAAAAGAAATAACGAAAATAAGAATGACAGACAGTCAAGTTGAAAGGGGCGTGAACACGATCGTACTGTCCTCCCCTCGCTGTTAACACAGTGTTCCGCACACTGTCAAAAATAGGAAGAGTTGACACAGTGTTGCGCACACTGTCAAAAATGGGAAGAGTTGACACAGTGTTGCGCACACTGTCAAAAATAGAAAGAGTTGACACTTTTTTCGCAGCCTGGCCCCGCCCCAAAGAAGCAGCGTAGGAAGTGTCCTAATTTTGCCTCAGTGACGGTTTACGTCAGCACGAACTGAAGGGCGAGATGTCATAATTTTTGTAACAGGAAAACAACCCCCGACTTTGCGGTGTTTGTGTGTTCCAAGTTTGACAATTCTATTCGTTTAGAAGAAGCGCGAAACAAACGCACGCCGCCGCGGGCACACAACGCGATGCAAAGCTGCTCTCATACGTATCTTTCGCGTGTGTTTTTGCGTCTGTGTGTTTTGCGGCAAAGACTGTTTGTCTTCCGCTTATTTGGGCCGCGGCCGCCTGCAGCGCCACCGCACAGTGGGCCGGGGGACCGGTGGGGGCGGTCGAAATCCCGGACGCGTTTTGCGCTCCAGAGTCGCTAAATGGGACTCGAACCGGACGTGTGACCCCACCAATGGATTGCTCTCCGAACGAGGAAACCATTGGTGGGGTCACACGTTTGGTTTCAGCCCAATTTAGCCACTCTGGAGCTCAAAACGCGTCTAGAGTTTTGGCCGCCGGTGCCGGTCTTCTGGCCCACACTGTGCACCGCCGTGTTTTCTGTTGCGGTCTAATGCCGCTGCCCGGCCGGACCGGCCTGCACAGTGTGCTCGCCAAACACGTTGCCGGCCGGCTATTGAAAATGCAGCACCCCGATTCGATCCCCGGCCGCCCCATGCTGGCCCGTGCTGTGCCCATAATGCGACAGGCGGAGGTTTTACAGAGCGGTCCCGCACCCGGACGCACTACCGCGCCTACAGTGCCGCCAATATCTGCTGCGTACTCTGTAAAAAGGGTCACAAAAACACCCCCCAAAAAAAGACCCAAAAGTTTTGTTTTTGTTTTTGCTTTTATTGAATGGATGATGGATGGTGTTACAGGATTAACGAGGTTCAAACTCCACAGAGTGCACGGTAGCTCGTCCATTGCCAAGAGCAAAGTCCCCGTTTTGTACCTCGCTGCTTTATTTTTTAATTTATTTTTTCGAGAATGTTTCGGGTGAAGTAGCCCTCTCCTGTTTGTCCCGAAAACGCCTCATCGGATTTGTCCGTCGGGGCCGAGTGAAGAGCCCCCGTCAAAGGCAGAGGGAAGATTTCATTACGCCAAAGGGTATCACCTTGAGTGGGGCTCTTAAGGCGCGCGCTACGGGGCGGCCGGTGCGCTGCAATTTGTCTCGGACGTGTCGTCCACGACACTGTTTCTGCCGGGTTTTGAACCCAGAGTCGTTAAATGGGACTCGAACCGAGCGTGTGACCCCACCAGTGGATTGCTCTCCGAACGAGGAATCCATTGGTGGGGTCACACGTTCGGTTCGAACCCCATTTAGCGACTCTGGTGCTCTAAACGCGTCCAGAGTTTTGGCCGCCTCCACCGGTCTTCTGGCCCACTGTGTTTAAGTGTCTCCATGTTGTCGGTCGCAGGGCATCCAGTCGTTCGTGCAGCTCGCCAGCCAGAACGGCATCTGCGTGGGTGTCTCGGAGCTGATCCACCGTAAGGCACACCCCGACGAGTACGACCGCGTGGTGCTGCGGCTGTCGCAACGCCCCAAGGCCAGGGCCGTCGTCATGTTCGTCGACGAGGACAACATCAGGTGCGTCTCTCTCTTACCAAAAATTTTTATTTATTTTTTTATTTTTTTTGATCGTGTGACCCCACCAATGGATTCCTCGTCCGGAAAGCAATCCATTGATGGGGTCACACGTTCGGTTCGAGCCCCATTTAGCGCCTCTGGAGCTCAAAACGCGTCTTCTGGCCCACTGTGACTTGCCAGCGCGCGCTTGAGCTACTTTAAGCGGTTTCACCGTGTGCCAGTGAGGCAGTTCGTCCGCGCATTTTCATATCCCGCGAAAGAAGCCACGCGTTTAGCCAGCCCCAATTTCCCCCCACTCGGCCCAACTTTCCCGCGAAGGCTCTTTGAGCTGGAAGAGAAATAACCCGCTCGGTTGTTGTGCTCGGCTTGATATACGTCCCGTAATAGAATTCAGCGGGTTCCATTCAACACGCTCACCGCTAGCACCGCCCGCACCGCCAGCACCGCCAGCCAGGATATATCCACTTACTTTGACGCGCCCCGAACAGACGCCCGCCGAAAGCTGAAATATCGTCCGCCATCCTTTCTTTGTCTTTTTTTCTCGCCCTCCTTTGTCGGTGGCTCATTTCAGCAACATCAGACTGGTGCAGTGCAAACTCCATTGAAACGCGCGATGCAGTAGCAAGAGGGGTGGTTAAACCGCGGTGGGGGCGGCAAAAATTCTAGACGCGTTTTGAGCTCCAGAGTCTCTCGAACCGAACGTGTGACCCCACCAATGGATTGCTCTCCGAGCGAGGAATCCATTGGTGGGGTCACACGTTCGGTTCGAGTCCCATTTGGTCCCACTCTGGAGCTCAAAACGCGTCCGGGATTTTGACCGCCTCCACCGGTCTTCTGGCAGACACACCCACTGGCCCGAGTTGCGCTTGCATCTTGATGCGTGCGACTCCGTGCTATCTCGGCAGGCGGTTGAACAAGACTTAAAAATGAATTTGCGAGGGCGTCGGAGTGGGTGGGGCCTAAGTCAGATTCCATTCTGTGCCGCTTACATCCTTCCAGGACACTTACCGCCCCCCTCCCCTTTCCCCTCCCCTTCCGGGTCTTTCGTCTCATCTATCTGGAGATCTGCTTTCTCTCCGTCCTCCTCGCTCCCCCGGCGTGCAGCCCCGCGCTCTGTCCGCGGTACAAGTGCGCATCCCGGAGCGGCGCCGCCAGAGCCGCGCAACTGTCCCCGTGGCCACGGCACTTACGGTGTAGTCGGCACGGGCAGGTTGGCCGCATCGAAGGTACAGTGGAGCACAGTGGGCCAGAAGACCGGTGGAGGCGGCCAAAACTCTACACGCGTTTCGAGCTCCAGAGTCGCTAAACGGGACTCGGACCGAGCGTGCGACCCCATCAATGGATTCCTCGTTCGGAGAGCAATCCATTGGTGGGGTCACACGTTCGGTTCGAGTCCCGTCTAGCGACTCTGGAGCTAAAAACGCGTCCGGGATTTTGACCGCCTCCACCGGCCTTCTGGCCCACTGTGTGTAGCGCACAGTGTTGTAAGCGTCAGCCCCCGCAGAATATATCGCAGCGCCGCGCGGCTCCGTGGAGACACAGGGTGTGCTTCGCCATTGCTCGGCCGGCATTGCTTCGCAGCGCAGCAGAAGCTCTCATCTAAACACGGCAATAAAAATAGGAAACGTTTTTTCCCGCAAGTGTTCGCCGGGCGGTTGTAATCGAATGGAAAGCTCCAGATGAGCCCGGCCCGGCCTCCCGATTTGTATTCGTACCCCTCCCCGCCGACCCCCTGTGGGGCCCGCCCCGCCCCGCCCCGCCCCAGCAGCTGGGAAGCCGCATCTAGATGGTCGGACGGCACAAAACGCGTCCCGAATAAAGTCAAGGATACATTTTGCCAATTTGCGCACGCCATGCCGCTTGCCCGGGTGGCCCGGCCAGGCCAGGCCGGCCGAGGTGCCACCTGTCCGAGCGACGCGACCTCAGGGCGGGGGTTCGACCCCGAAACGCGTCGCCTTTGGAATTTTAATCATTCTCGTGAGTATTTGTTAAATGATCGGTAATTTTGTTCCTTCGAAAAAACAGGAATGGTTTCATTGGTTTTATGGAGGGCTATTTAAGTTCACGCAGGGTCAGTATTCAAAATTTTGTAGGTCACTCAACGTTTGCGTTGTTTTTCACAACTCCCAATGAAAAACATTTATAAATATTGTTTTATCCCCCCAGGGCGAAAGTTCTAGCCCGAATCCCACCCCAACAATTCCCAGTGCAGCCAAACTTATTCCTGGGTCGCTCAAGATTTGCTTGCAGCGCGGCGGGCGGACCTTGGCCGATTGTCCCGAAATCGGCTGACATTTTAGTGCCGCGCAGTTGTTTGCCCTGGCCTTGCCCGTCCTCCAGTAAAAACACAGACAAGATTGTTGCTCCGCGCGTGAGAGGCGGAGGAGAGAGAAAGGGAATTCGTTTGGAGCAAACCTCCCTCCTCCGATGCACAGTGGGCCAGAAGACCGGTGGAGGCGGTCAAAATGCCGGACGCGGTTTGAGCTTCCAGAGTCGCTAAATGGGATTCGAACCGAACGTTTGAACCCACCAATGGATTGCTCTCCGAACGAGGAATCCGTTGATGGGGTGACATGTCCGGTCCGAGTCCTGTTTAGCGACTCTGGAGCCCAAAACGCGTCTAGAGTCTTGGCCGCCGCCACCGGTCTTCTGCCCCACTGTGCGCCCTGCATCGGAGGGAAATTTCCCTCCCCGATGTGAGTTGGCGGCACTGTAACGCCCGGAACGTGGCGGCAAATTTAACAATTTGTGTCGGAGGGCCGGTGCGGGGTGCGGGTGCTCTGGAAGTTGTGGAAGAGGCTACAGAATAACGAAAGGCAGGCGATTTGTATGCGTGACGTGGCCGGGACTCCGGGTCGCTCGCTGCGCCAGACCCACATTGTCTGCATCGGCCGCGACCCTGTGCCCGCCGACCCGCCGTTAAGGTAGCGTGGCCAACCTGGACACAATCCCTGTGCCCCATTTGACTGCAATCCCATGAAAAAGCATTGTTTTTTAACGTTTCAATCCCCCGTTGTACTAGGAAACCGAAAACTCTCGACAAAACCACAAAAATTAAAAAGAGGAAAAATCTTTTATTTTTTTTGTAAATGTAGGACCAAAGTTGTTTTTTTAGATGTGTCCACCTGCATTAATTTGCAAAGTGTGTTTCTGACAGTGGATTAAAAATAATTAACAGTGTCCATATTGATGGAAAACATTGTCGGACTTCTGGTCCAGGCGTGGGGTGGTGGCGAAAGGAAACCTAACGCGAGTGTTGGTTTTTTTTTTTTGCGTGTGGCAGGAAGCTTCTCGCCGCCACCATCAGGGCCAACCTGACCAACCACTTCCTGTACGTGGCGTCCGACTCCTGGGGGGCCAAAAACTACCCCGTCAAGGGCCAGGAGGGCGCGGCCGAGGGCGCCATTACCATCCTGCCCAGGAAGAACAACATCCTCGGTGAGTCGAACTGCGTTTTGTTGTTGTTGTTGTTGTTGTTGTCGTCGTCGTCGTCTCGATTTGACACGTGAGTCGATGCAGCTGCATCCGAGTCGCCGCGAAAGTGTGCACCGTGTCGTTGTTGGCACAACAACAAAATGTTTTGTTTTGTGGTTTTGTTTTGTTGCTTTGTTTTGGTGTTTTGTTGTTTTGTTGTGGTTTGCTTTTTTGTTTAGTTTTGGTTTGCTGTTTGTTTTGGTTTGATTTTTTTAGGTTTTGGTTTGTTGGTTGTTTTTTTGTTATGTTTTGTTTTGTTGATGAGTGCGCTAATGGAAAGTTGCCTAGTCCTTCACATTCTCCTTGCGCCCGCGGCTGGAGGAAAAGAGACCCTGTGTTTACAGTGTTTACACACGAGGCGACTTCGTTTGCAACGCGGGGGCTCACTTGTTTCATCTCGAGAGGCGCGGACAACTCTTTTGTTTCGTCGATTCCAAGACTCGCTGTTTTTTGTTTGTTTTTGTAAAGCGAGATAACAGTGACGTCGTCGTGTTGCCGAAACATTGGTCGATGCCCCCGCTCTCCTGCACTGCGGAAAAAAAATCCCATGAAGCTTCGCTTTGTAATGAAAAGGAAATGTAGGCATTGTACAACCTGCGAAAAAGAAATGCTTTCACATTACGGGGCGAATCCTTCTGAGTGCAGATTATTCCTTCAGAATGCGAAGCAGTTCGCGTTCCCTCCCCCTTTTTTTCAGAGTACGTCACAGAGCAACGGCGGCCTTCGTAGGTCAGCACCGTGAAAATGAATTGGGGTCAAAGGCAACCCGATTACGCCACTCTGGCCCGAAAGAGACTCTTCTTAAATAGTCAAAACAATTGCCCTGCGAACGGCGTGTTCTTTCTCTCTCTCTCTCTCTCTCTCTCTCTCTCTCTCTCTCTCTCTCTCTCTCTCTCTCTCTCTCTCTCTCTCTCTCTCTCTCTCTCTCTCTCTCGCTCACGTGACCGGCGTGGGGCCTGCATAAAAGACGAGGGTCATTTGACCGAGATGTAGCTCACCGGACTCCTCAAGTAGCCACTGGCGATCGGCACTACACTGTGGGGAGTACCCCGGACTTGCATTTTTTTCACATCATTCTCGGGCACACTGGAGTGCACGCTGTATTCCCTGAAAAGGAGAAAGGGACGAACCGCATTGTGTGGATGGCCGACGACGGGACAGCCTGCAGGTGGAGGCATACAGGACATGAGCCCCGTCCCGTTTGAGCCCCGATGGTCTGAGCCCCGACCTGAGCCCCAACTTGAGCCCCATTTGAGCCCCGACTTGAGCCCCGACCAAAGCCCCAATATCCAGAGCCCGGATTGAGCCCCGACCTGAGCCCCGTTTGAGCCCCATTTGAGCCCCATTTGAGCCCCGTGGCAAAAAATCATGCAAAAAGTCTTCACAAATAGTTATTTTCGGCCTCGGGGCTCTAACGGGGCTCAAACCGGGCTCAAATGGGGCTCAAACGGGGCTCAGGTCGGGGCTCAATCCGGGCTCTGGATATTGGGGCTTGGGTCGGGGCTCAAGTTGGGGCTCAACCCGGGCTCAGGCTGGGGCTCAAGCCCGGGCTCAGAACAACGGGGCTCAAACGGGACGGGGCTCATGTCCTGTATGCCCAGGTGGAAGGCTGTGACGGACGCACTCGATGACGTCACCGCCGGGGGGCGCGGCCTGCCTGGCCGGCGAGCCAGCCAATCCGGTAATGGGATTGCACGTCATAGGGCCTATGGGCTGGCGCGGCGGGATGCTCCGGGTTCCTCCGGCCTTCTCCAGGGGCTCCTCGCTGGACGTGGGGTCGACAGCCCGTTAGCGATCCTACCTGCCTGCCTCGGCCTGCCTCGGCCTGCCTCCACATAACAAGGGTGCTGCAGCCCCGCGCGCCATACCGTCGCGCCGTCTCTCTCGCACCCCCACGGGACGCCGTGGGAGTGCGACAGAGATGAAGTGACACTTGCGGGCCCGCTGCACAGTGGGCCAGAAGACCGGTGGAGGCGGCCAAAACCCTAGACGCGTTTTGAGCTCCAGAGTCGCTAAATGTGCCTCGAACCGAACGTGTGACCCCACCAATGCATTGCTCTCCCGACGAGGAATCCATTGGTGGGGTCACACGTTCGGTTCGAAGCCTCTTTAGCGACTCTGGAGCTCAAAACGCGTCTGGAGTTTCGGCCGCCTCCACCGGTCTTCTGGCCCACTGCGCGCTGCTGGCGACAAACGAGGATAAGGCCGTCACAAAGTCACGCAATACGGGGCCCTGCGTCCCTGGTCCCTGCCACGTAGGCAGTGGCGTGCCGTGTCGTCTGCCTTGCAGTGCCGTGCCGTGCGCGCCGGCCGCGAAAGGGTTTGACTACGGGGAGGGGGCTGTCTCGGTGCCCCGGCCCCAAATCCCACACCGCCGCGTCTCTCTCTCTCTCTCTCTCTCTCTCTCTCTCTCTCTCTCTCTCTCGCTCGCTCGCTCTCTCTCTCTCTCTCTCTCTCTCTCTCATATGCATCGTTGCCTCTGGCGATCTCCAGTCCACGTTGAGCAAGACAGCGACCGAAGAGTAAAGCAACTACCAGAAAAAGCGATTTAACATTTTGCTTCTTTATTGAGTTTTTCGCAACTTGGGCAAAATGGTGCGAAGAGCCAGCTGCTGTCATCGTGCTTCCCGCGGGAAGTTTGGTTGCCCCGTTATCGTTCTTCACCTCAGCCTTCGGCGGTGGAGAGCGCCCGCCGTGGCGAGGCTAGGCCGCCGCGCGACGGCTGTGTGGAAAGGTTGGCCTACCCTGCAGTCGGCAGGCGCTCGGCCGCCGGTGGGCCGGAAGACCGGTGGAGGCGGCTGGAATCCCGGACGCGTTTTGAGCTCCAGAGTCGCTAAATGGGACTCGAACCGAACGTGTGACCCCACCAATGGATAACGCGTCTGAAGTTTCGGCCGCCTCCACCGTTCTTCTGTCCCACCGTGCGATGGCCCACTCTCACCACTTACGCAGGCAGAAGTTCCCGCGGTGTGCCGGTGTCGAAAGGGTGGCCAACCTCAGCCTGCGCGCTGGGCAACTTCTCGCTTGCGTTGGCAACAATTTCGACTGGTGCATCGCGGCGGGAGGCAGCCTGCTGGTGTGGCAACACTGCGTCACAAGCCGCCCCTGAAGACTGATTCCCAGAGTCGTTTTCGTCGCTCTGTCTCTCTGGCACTCACAGGGCGGTAGGTGCGAGAGAGACAGAGTGACGACTCTCGGCATCCGTCTGCAGGTGCGTTCGCTTCAACAAGTCGGTGCATCGTTGCCCAGGCGGTGCGAGGTGGTGCGCACAGTGCCAACGGGGCAGGGATTGGCGTCGCTCAGTGCGCCGGCTCGCCGGCTCGCCCCCGTGGCCCGGAAGTGCCCTCCCGGCGTGTCTGCGCCGCCCCCGGCCGCCCCCAGGCCGCCCCCAGCGCCTCACGCCGCCGCCCGCTCCGGGACAGGAACGAGAGCAGCGGATGGGATCCAGGCAGAGGAAGGGGGAGGGATTGCTTTGCCGCTCCGTTGGGCCCGTACACGGGCCGGGGGCGGGCCGGGGGGGCGGGGGTGGATTATAAGGCGATATTGCTTCGAGTAATGCTCGGGCTCGGGGACGGCCGGAGTGGGCCCAGCGCAGCCCGGCGCAGCCCAGCGCAGCGCACGCACGGCCCCGCACTGCTTGTCACCGCTCGGCACTAGCGCAGGACTCGAACCGAACGTGTGACCCCACCGATGGATTCCTCGTTCGGAGAGCAATCCACACAGTAAATGTCTTACGGTGAAAGGCTGCACCAACATAATATGGTGGAGATTTTCTCCATAATACCAACGAAATTCGTCAAAATCTCTATAAGGTACAGTGAATTCTTGATGGTATGTTACGAAGTCAGCTGCACCACCATAATATGGAACATTTTCACCATAATATGGAGAATCTTCACTGTAGAACATTTAGAGTGCATTGGTAGGGTCAAAGCCTGATTTAGTGACCCAGAAATGCATTTATTTCCAAAAAAAAGACTTTTTTATATTTTTTGCCACCCCTGCGCCCCCTATGCAATCTGCACCCCGTTCGTCGCCGTGTGTGCGATGGCAGCTCAGCACTTCCAGTGTGCGCCTTCGAGCGACGATGTCGCTTCGATGACGCGAAACAATGGCCCTCCCGAAAGGGAGAGGCAAGTCCGCCGGAATGCCTCGAATCATGTTTGTGCGAACAATGCGCTCAGGACGTGTGCTTAGATTCGCCTGGGATTTAAACACGATGCGTTCCAAAAAAGACCGGCATTTTTTTTTTGAATGAACTGCTCGGTCGGCACCTTTGATGGCAAAGCCGTTTACCCGCTTGTTGCTCTCGAGGCCGCCTAGGCCGCTTCGCTGCCGGGGAGCTCACACTAATTACACCGGACAGACCGGCCCCCAATTTTTTTTCTGTCTCTCTCTCTCTTTTTCTTGCGCGCCCACTGCAAGTCACTGCCGCCTCCGGTCGACGGCACAATGATGCAACTACCATTAGTTCCCGCTGTCCTCTTTTTCTGCAAATTTGCAACGTCCGTCCCGCCATGCCGCGCCATGCGAAACAGTTGTCGGTCAAAGTCCAACAAAGGGGAATTTCGGTGTACAAGTCCAATAAATTTCAGCCGAATTTCGATGAATTTCAGTCAACATTCGATGAATTTCAATCAAATTTTGATGAATTTTAAAGAATTTTAGTGAATTTTACCAGTTTAATGTATTTACAAATTTGGCTGGGGTTATTTCCCCTTGCCAACAACAGTATTAAGTTTTAAATGAAATAAAACTTAAACTTTTTTTTAAATTTTCTCAAGCTAAAGTATGGTTTGCAGACCTTCCTAAAACCAGTGATTTCTTTTTTCAAAGCCAACTTTTTAACAGTGCTGTGTCGCGACAGACATCACAGCAGCGCTCCGTGTTGAAACCGGGCTGCCTTTCTAGCCGTGACGGGAACGCCCCTACCCCCGTCGGGGCCCTGGGGCCTGCCTGCCAGC